TTCTTGGGGATTAAGGGGCTGGCGGTGTGGTTTCTGAAGGCAAGCCAGACAGTATTCTAAGCTGGGGACACACGGCATGTTTTAACTGCTGTGCTAATTCTGCGTAAGAAGATGTTAAGTATCTAGCTCCTTGCTGTAGCATGCCATGTGTCCCTGAATAAAATTACTGCCATGCAGGCTGTTAGGGAAGGAATGCGTAAACAGACAATGTATCCTTGCATCAGTTCCACCAAATGTTGCACAACACGAATGCCTCTCGATGTGTCATTTCCTGCTTGGCCACCAGCCCAGCTCCCGACAGTCAGTCAACATGAACAAAAAATAATAATAATAAAAAAATAAGTAAAAAAAAGAAAAAAGAGGAAAGAAAGAAAACAGAAAGAAAGGAGGAAAAAAAAAAAAAAAAGGAAAGAAAAAAGAAAGAAAAAAAAAATACTGACAGATTTAAAGCTGCTCTGCTCGCAAGCACATTCCATCAGCCCCAGCCTTATTCCTCCACCCTCTGCCTTTGAAAGAAGAGAGAGAGAACTTCCTAAACGCTGTTATGGTTTTAAGTCTAGGAATCTCAAACATCTCCATGGCTTATCTGCGCTCTGTAGCCACACAGTTAACACAACGGCTGACCAGAAGCTCCTGCTTGCTTTTGCTGTCTTTTGTAGCATGCACAGACAACGAGGCACTGTTTGCTCATACCTTTCACCGTGGGTGCACCTTACCAGCTACAGCAGCAGGGAAATATTTGGGAGCTGAATGAAATGTAGCAGTTTTCTCCTACCGAAACCAGCAGCCCTAAACTCAGAGGGACTTTTCCATATGTGCTCATAAGCTAAATTTCTGCCAGTGATTTTGAAGACTATCGTTGATTAGAGATGAAGTCTTTGGAAGCTGGGCAAAATATAAAAACACAGACACTCCCCCAGCAAAAAGCAGCCAAGGACTCATCTGCTCTCTGGGGCTGCTGCTGAAGGACAAAGCATCAGTTCATAGAATCACAGAATGGTTTGGGTTGGAATGGACCTCAGGGATCATCAAGCTCCAACACCCCACCACACGCAGGGCCACCAACCTCCACATTTCAGAGCAGCCCAGGCTGCCAGGGCCCCATCCAACCTGGCCTTGAACACCTCCAGGGATGGATGGGGCATCCACAGCCTCTCTGGGCAGCTGTTCCAGCACCTCACCACTCTCACAGCAAACAACTTCCCCCTGACATCCAACCTAAATCTTCCCTCCTTCAACTTAAGTTGATTAGTTTGGCATTTGTAAGGGGAGTTAGGGAAAAGGTTGTTGGGTTTTTTGGTCTTTTAATTCCTTTAGGGTTATATCTTGCTATCTGTTGGTTTGTTATGACCTTGTTACAACGTGGTTCTCAGCAAAACTTCTTTCAGCCCTCCCAGCTGGAAGGCAGCTCTGCGGGCTTAGGGCTGTGGATGGCAGAGGCTCTATACTGCAGATGGGGAGAGAAAACACATTGGCAGGATTTCCCAATGACTCCCAAAGACCTTATACAGTGGTTTCTGGACTCCATCTCTCACAATGCAATGCGCTGTCCCAGCCCAGCACAGAGGCTGTGCAACAAATGAGATCCTGGTTGGAAAAGCAGATAGACTGAAAAAAAATCTTTTCCCAAGAATAATCATTAGAAGAAATGGGCAGATTTTCCTAACAGAGCAACCTGACACCCCAATCTCTATTGAAATGTTTTAAGATAATAGCAGAGAGGTAAGGCAGTGAGCTTCTACAAGCACATGTTCAGTACAATCAACCAGCACTCACATTTGAGAACCTGACTTCCTGAAGCATCCAAAATCCCAACTGGAGTCACTGCATGCCATGACTGTTCAGCACGCTTAATGTCAGCCTCTGGATGGCTGTGATATCTGTCATGGGATGGCTGCTGCTCCTGCTGCTGCTGGAAAACACGCAGCATTTGTTTGCTGGAGCCAACTTGCCAACAGAAGGTCAAAGTGCCTTGCCTATAAACAAGCCTTACAAATTCACGATCTGAAGCATGATGTCATGTCTTAAAATGATAAGCTGGCAACAAAGTAAATGACATTTTGTAGAGACGTGCATAATTTTATGTTTACGCTACTTAGAATGAAGGTTCTAATAAGTCATCGGTTGTGTTCCTTTAAAGGGAAGTTTTATAACTGAGATGAATCACAACTGCAAGAGATCAAAGTTAGAAAACATCAATGATGCCATGGGGTACTTTTTAATCTCGTAATGAATGATGATCATGTGCTCTTATGAAGTTGGTCCAACTGCCAACGCCAGATGTGTATATTAAGAGAAAAGTTGTTTGTGATGTGACAGCTCTGGTTGAGCTGCCAGAGAGAAGAAAACGAGGAGAACATGCCTGAGATGTCTGAGTGAAATACAGATCCTGGCAGAGAGGGGCACTATTGGCCGATACATAATCTGTTAAGAAAAGCACATTTGCTATCAGATCCACTCATTGACTTGAATTCTTCATTGCCCCAACCACCTCATTTTCCTCATGCAACGTAAATGCCAGATACAATTCTTGAGTGATCACCACCAAACAGTAATAAATCTGCATAAGCACAGGAGCTCCCAGAATGAACAGAACTTCAATGAAACTCCCATAGTACTTCTGCAGCTACACCTTCCCTGAAAATTCACATTTAATAACAAGTCATCCTGGAGACATCATCTCCCTTATAGCATACAACTGCAATGACAGAACCTGCAGAACCAAGCTGACCCCAGAGCAGAGCTTCACTATGGAGCTGAAATTCTTACATCCAAGGTCTCTTAAACGGGGCTTTCTTAATAAACAAATAAAGACAGAGAGGAAGATACAATAATTCCATCTAGGCTACGAGAACTGGCTTTCTTAGTTACTGAGCATCCCTTGGTATGAGGGGATGAAATACAGCTGAAATCCATGGGAACAGCAAATAGGTGTCATGTATAGAAGTTGGCTGAACAACTCAGGCAGAACCTGGAGATCTCACATTGCTATATTAACACAGTCTCACCTTTAATTCACAAATTGCCAGAACAGCTTAGCTGCCATCGCAGGACCAGACAAAGGTTCCCCCCCTGTGCCACAGTGAGCAGCCAACTCTGTTAGCTGCAGCGTTTTCAGTCTACTCCACTCCATCACTGCATTTGTTATCTGCTGTCTGAGATTTGCTCTGCAGATGCCTCAGTACCCAGAAGCAGCCTCCAAATGGGAATGGCCAAATGATACCCCCTGGTTTTTACACTCTGAGCGCAGCTTGAAGCAACAGTTTAAACATTGAAAAGAGCACTGCTCCAGCAAGAGAGGGACGGAAGGATAAAAATCCCTTACTGTGACAGACAGAAACCTCAGATGTGAGAGGGCAGCAGCCTAAGTACCTACAGGATGAAACTTCTCCATTGCTAGCTGCTTTTTCTTATCTGCTGTTCTAGGAGAGGTACAAGAGCTGGGCAGCTCTTACAGAAGGCATTTTGGTTTCCCTCTCTCAGTTGTGCAGGAGGTGGCACCACAGCATGGATTAACACAAGAAACACATTGCTGCGTGCAGCCTTCTACTTCTGTCTTGGCGGTATGCTCAGCAAAACTCCCTGAAAGCTCCTCACAGGGCTCACTTGTACGTGCAGATCAAAGGCAGAACAATTATTTGAGATGCTTCCACAAAAGGGATATTTTTAATGTGGTTATTCACCAAATAATTCTTAATCTCCAAATGCAATTTAAATGCAGCTATACCTGGTTAATCCAATCAATTTAGAAAGACTCATTCTAGTCAGATTAAGGAAAAACTCCAGAGCTGGCTCATCACTGCTACCCAGATGGTGTCACACTGGTTGCCTTCGAAATGTGTAAGACAGAATCAGGCAGAGATCATCGTGGATTGACCAGTATCTAAAAGTATTGGCCAGCCATAGCATTGCTGGAGTGCGACAAAGCACAACTGTCGTAAACAAGTAGACACAAATCATTGCTCAGAGATTCCCTTCCAATATTTGAAGGGAGCGTATAAACAGGAGGGGGAACGGCTGTTTATGAGGGTGGATAGTGATAGGACAAGGGGGAATGGTTTTAAAGTGAGACAGGGGAGGTTTAGGTTGGATATTGGAGGAAGTTTTTGAGCCAGAGGGTGGTGAGGCACTGGAACAGGTTGCCCAAGGAGGCTGTGGATGCCCCATCCCTGCAGGCATCCAAGGCCAGGCTGGATGTGGCTCTGGGCAGCCTGGGCTGCTGGTTGGCGACCTGCACACAGCAGGGGGTTGGAACTGGATGAGCACTGTGGGCCTTTGCAACCCAGGCCATTCTGTGATTCTATGATTCTTTGTAAGTTAGGAAGGTGTGCAGCCTTGAGTCCAACATGCTGAGGGACAATCTGATCGGCTACGCTGCCATTAAGCATACTTTCTGTACACAGATAAGAAACAAAGGCTGTGCTGTAGATGCATGGTGTTTAGAGCTTTCTTTGGCCCCCAGGGGGTCTGTGATGAGTCCGTAGCTGAAAATCAATTTCAGGTATGATGAGATTAACCAGGTGCATTAATTATCTGATGGCAAAAGAATTTAAGGGCAAACAAAAAGGCACTATATTGTATATTATCCTTCTGCGCTAGGACTGATCCTATAAGATCGACCTCCTATGGTGCTGTAAATGTCTTCAGTTGGAAGTTTGCAGGAGCTGAGGGAAGCGGCCCATTGCAGGACTGCATCTATTAGCCTAAATCAGATTATACATAAATACCATGGGTTTAGTTCTCATTTACACTGGCAGATAATGTATCAAGACCTTGATGTGAATGAGGATCAGGTTCGGGATTGCCCAAATTCAGCCAAGCACTTCAGCGTGTGTTTAATGCGAGTATGTGTGTGGTCCAATAGGCTCCAAATTAAGCATGCGCTTACATATTTTGCTGAGCAAGGCCCAGTGTTTGACAAAGATATATATTTCATTTATGGATCTCCGTTAAACAAAATTAAGCAGGCGTAAGTGCAAAAATAAGAGTGTAATACTCACTTCTTGGCTCCCGCGGCCCATCCACCGTAACCTTTATGGCTCTGTGGTATGTAGCGACTTGGGGGGGATTTGTCAGGACAGTTATTGTCAAAGTAAAGCTCTTCCCTACAAAGGAAAAAAAAACAACAACGAGGAATGAGTGATTACAACATGAAAACAGTCACATGCATGTTCAGTAAAAAGTCAGAGACGTTTAAAATTATTCCCTGTCGTTACCACAATCGCGAAAATTAAAAACATAACTGACCATAGGAGTTTTCCTCCCCTTCAGTTTTACTCTACGTCAAGAATATGTCCATGTGTTGACAATCTAAATGTTCCTTATTTAATAATGGGTCATCATGCAACGACAGAACAAAAGTGATTCACTGCCGAGGACAAGCCAAATTCCTTGCTGTATTGAAAGTGGTGTACATCCAAAGCGAGGCGGATAATTTAAAAATTTACTCCAGTTTTGCAGCTGCGGGACAGAGAGCAGAATGTGACCACATGTTATTTACTTCGCACAGCTCCATCGTGTCGTCGTTTGACTACAATGAGATGAGGAAAGGCTGCGTTTCCCCCCGGGAGCCATTAGAAGAGGGAATCAGCGTCTCCTGTCCTTCGTGCTCCAGGGCTGACGTGGTGATATCATCATTACTGGAGCACACTTTTCTCCCTACACACGACTGCACGTCTCTCTGTTAAACACTGAGGCAGCCCTCGGCTTTCCAGCAGCAGTGAGAAACCGCAGTGTGCACGCGCTCTTCCCCTGTCAGGCTGCGGCTGTGTTTCTCAAGGCTGGAGCTCACACAGGCATCGCACGAGAGCATCTGGAGCCCTCGGCTGAAGGAAACCTTAAACGTGAGCAGAGGGGCTGAGCTGGGTGAGCCGGGCACACGTTCTCACCAGGCACCGGCCACTGACAGTTGTAATCTGTTAGATATGCAACCGTTAGTCACGTCAGATAATCAAAACTGAAAACTGCTTCAAGACAGGAAAAGGTGGGCGTGCAGCAGTGACTCAATAAAACAGTCAGCATCCCAGGCCTGCCTGCTCCTTTCAGCTGCTCCCCCGCCAGGCTCTGAAGCACTTTCTTTCTCTCTCCCTGCCTCTCTGTGCTTTTCTGCTGCCGGGGCTTTTCCTCTTGTTGAACTCTGAAGACACAAATCTTAAACAATATCTAAGAGCACAAACTTAGCACAGGTTTTTCAAGCCTAAAATAGGACAGCTTATATAAAAGGCATAATATGGAACAGAGCTTTGGCTGTCAAAACTAGTAATTGGTCTTTCTCTCTGGCTCAAGCTGTATATCTGCCCCAAACCTGTCTGAGACACGCATCATTCATTACCCGGAGTACAACTTCAAACTGTCTCAGCCCTTTTTCTCATAAACCAAAATGTGACATGGATTTTTTTAAGGACGTATAACAGTCACTTGGAGTAAAGTGCTCTTCCAGGTGTAGCTGTGCTCTGGCTGCACCCATCTTTCTGTAGGTGGAGGCCAGAAGGTATAAAGGTGTCAGGCGGCTGAGTTTGGCCTCAGATGCAATGGGGAGGCATGGTCAAAGGCAGCTCCCCCCACAGCCCCAGGAAATGGGTCTGTTCACTGATCTTTTGAGAATGACCACCATGGGACAGTACAGTGTACCGAGGTTGTCCAGTCTTTGTCGAGTCCTACTCATCCCAGTTGTACAGCAGTCATTTTGCCTGTGTATGACATGCCTGTAGGCAGAGCCCGAATGTGCAGCAACATCCCTACTGGGCACACAGTGCCTCCACGCTGCCTGTTGAGGTCTGGAGTGCTGTGAGCCCTTTATCTCTACCCGAGCAGGAATTCAGCCTGCTGCCTGGACACCACCAGTTTGCCAGGGATGGATCTTAGGCCTCCGTTAGCATCAGCCTATCATGGAAAACAGTTCTGACTCTGAAAACATACTATCATTCAGATCACAGTTACCCATATAAAAGGAGCAGAATACAACTGGCAACCACCAAAGATGCTAAGGGGATTTTCTGAATGCCTTGGAATGAAGCCTTTGGCCTTACACTGCTACCACTCTCTTTATGTGCCAAATCAGTCTACTGATGGCTAAAAATCAAGCCAACAAAACAATACTATTTTAAAAGACCCTGTAAAATCAGTCCGTAGAGAAGCACTCCAAGGTTTTGTATGCTAAACGCATCTCAACGTGATACAGTGGCAAGAAAACAACACACTCCTTAATACAAAGAGCAGTGCTTCCACCTGGCCTGTGAGCGCTCCTAAATGATCAGCCAGCCTACGTTGAACAGGTAAGCACCTCATTTGAAAGGGAAATAGGTTTTGTTCCCTAGGTGGTATTCTAACAAACAGAAACATTAATGAATGAACATTAACAAAGCCCCACCGCACTCAGCAAAACAAAGCGTGGCTTTATAGCGGGGTGATGCACGGCCGCCAGCACACTCCAGTCCCAGAGCTTTCAAGAAATGATTTACATATTACAGGATTGAGAACAAAATATGTTTTTAAGGTCACACGTTTCAGCGACGCGTGTGCCTCCCCCAGATAGGTGGAAGTGACTTCACAGAGATCCTCCCTCTGCTAGGAAATCCTTTAATGCACTTTTTATCGCCTCCCTTTATGCCCTCAGTCGCTTAAACTATCCCCTTTTAGAAGCTGACGACTAATTGCAGTGCTCTGTTATTAAATTCCCTCGCCAAGCAGGCATCTGGCACTAATGCCTCCGTGCGTCCTAACTGTGCATGCTTTGTTATTCACACATGTGAGTGCAGCCGACAAAAAAAGGAGGGGATGGACATATGTTGAAACACAAGGCAAAAAGCAGAAGTCACTTGGAAAGGGGACTCAGCAGCCTGCGTGTGCTGCGTGTTTTTCAGTCAGGTCCCAGTGTGATTAAGGCATTGGGGGGCCACAAAATGAAGGTGATTGGAACAGGTTGCCCAAGGAGGCTGTGGATGCCCCATCCCTGCAGGCATTCAAGGCCAGGCTGGATGTGGCTCTGGGCAGCCTGGGCTGCTGGTTGGCGACCTGCACACAGCAGGGGGTTGGAACTGGATGAGCACTGTGGGCCTTTGCAACCCAGGCCATTCTGTCATTCTATGATTCTATGATTCTATGATCCCGTGCTCATGAAGGACAGGAATTCTCTCTTTGTACTGCGGCTCAGCCTTGTAAAAGTGAGCTCCTGCCTCTAAACCACAAACAAACAACTTCTGCATGCATATAAAGAGCTCTGGTTACTTATTCTTAAGAATTCAGAAAGGTATTTAAGAGAAATTATGCAAACAAAAACGTGAAGTCAGGGCTCCTGTCAGGCGAGCAGCACTAACATGGATATGAATCCAGTTACTGCACTGAGCCATGGGAAGCAGGGAAAAAACGTGGGAGAGAAGGTGAAGTGGTAAGCTGATGATTCAGCCCTCACAATCAAACTGAGAGATACAGAGATCAAAGAGCAAGCTGTTTAGAAAGATGTAAATCTGAAGGCAGGAACAGGTGTGGATTAGTTTCTTGCCACCGAAAAATGATTTCTTTCGTACATTATTTTTCCTGTTCTACTTCAAGTCTAGCACCTAACGATATCTGCCACTGTCAGTAGCTTTCTCACTTCTCTTTGCAACTACTGCTTTCTTTCCTGCTATTTTAAGGAGAGTTATAAAAATCTATCAGTAATGATAACTCTTTCTCCTTTCCTCTCTCTCTCCCCCTCTCTGTTCTGAGTCTGGGAGACAAGTCTGGACCAATTTCTCCATCCCGCCTCTGGCAGCAGAATGCAGCATTTCAGATCCTCCACCGAGTCCCGGCTGCTTCAAAGGCAAAGCCCTACTTTCTTCCGTTAAGATCATAAGAAATATAGGGGGAGGGGGTCAGCTCTGTTTGGACATAATTACACTTCATCAAAAGAAGCTTTCTTCATCTTCCATGCGTGAAAAGTCTGCAAGCAGTTAAGTCTGTCTTTTTTCTTCCTTTTTTTTTTTTTCTTTTTCTTTTTTTTTTAAATATAAAAATTGCTATTTGGGAAACTAGCCAAAACTCAGAAAGCCAATATAGTAAAACAGTGCACACCCTTTGTTTTGCTTTGAAGTCTCTTAAATAAATATGTTGAGGGCTTGAAAAGTACATTATCGCTTTTCCATAGATTCTACCCAGACTGATCAGAGAAAAACTCTATTCCAGATCTACTAGATATGAATATAGGTTGAACTACCGGTGCCCAAATTCAGAGGCTTTGTGTTTGTATGTGTCCACATCTACACCTACCAAGTTCTCAGACCCTTCAGTTCATTTCCTACGGTCTAATAAGAAAGCATATATCATACATTTCAAATGAAATCCGCAGATCTGAGGTTGTACATCACATCTCAGCTCTTTTCAGCACTGCCGAAGCAGTCACACACTGCTGAACTCTTACTGTAAGGCACTGCTAGCGACCGAGCCAGGGAACCTTCAGACCTCATCCATCAGCCCAGTAACAAAGCAGGCTGGTTTTTCCAAAGGAAGCAAGACAAATGGAAGAGGAAGGCAGCGCCGCATCCCAAATGGCAGCGAAGGCCATATTTATACCACACTGCTTCTGCAGTAGTTATTCTGTTTTCAAGTTACCCTTTATTACCAATAATTTTCAAGAAGTAAAATGATAAAGAGAGCTGTTGGCCAAGTCACTAATATAAAAAATAGCCGCTGTAAGCCACACTGATGGAATCACTTTCACAAAACAGCGGTAATTGTAAAAGCATGCCAGCTGACTGAAACTATCTCGGCCTCTGTCAAATGTTCGGTTAGTATTTTTGATGGAGAAATAGCCCTAAGATGTACAGCTGCTGTTAAAGTGTGCGACTGTAAATTACCTTTATTACTGATTCTCCACACGCACAGTTTAGCCTTTATTTCTTCCTTTCCCTCCATGCAGCTTAAAACACAGATAATTACTGCAAGTACGTAACACGTAAACACTGAGGCTGAATCGATGGCTGATTGATACAACAGAGCCCTCCGAGCATTCCTGCACTGAAGACCGAAGTGCCAGCTTCCCTCAAGTGGTCATTTCAATCACCACCTCAAATTTTAGGGCAGCTACAAGAATCTTACGTTATTTTCAAGCTCTCAGTGGTAACAAAAGCTTTCTATCTGTGCTTCCCAGGTTACAGGACACTTCTGAACAGCTGGAAGACAATGACAGCACTCTAAATCTCCCAAAAAATTGGAAGTCGCCCTCCCTGACATTTAAAGTAAAGGTCGAATTTCGTTCCATCCAAAGCTTACCATCAATTCATAAAAGTCAGGCAGGTTACTAACAACAACAGCGAGGTTTCTGTCTGCGGGTCATACACAAAGGGCAGGGAAGCACCAGAAGGCTTTCTACCAATAGCTGTGAGCTTTTAGAGACCATAACCTAAAACACATGTGATATGCAACGCTCCTTTAATTCTAGCTCTCCTGCAACAACTCCAGCAGAAGCGCTACTGCTGAAAGGAATCCTTCATCTCTTGTTACTGCGGCCTGAGATGCACCGTCTGACTGTAAGAAAACCATCACGAATATCCTCGTTTCCTTCCGCCTCTGCTGCGTGATTAAAATGGGGAACCAAGGTATTCTGTGAATCATTTTTCAAAACCGGTGTTCCAAAAATGAACAAAGACGTGGCAGGAAAGCTTTGCAAGAGAGAACACCTCGCTGGGCTGGCAAGTTTGCAAATAAAACAGGCATCTGTGAAAGGCAGACAGCGATTTATCGACACACAAATCTGTGTTTCCTTGTGAAACGAGGCTGATCTCCAGGCCTTCCCTTCACCCCGCTGCGCCCACACACAAAGCAGCCACCTACCTCTGCCACTTCTGCCCACAAATCGCAGGTCATTGAATCTGGCCACCTGGTTCTTCATCACAGCAGAAGCGTTTCGCAGCTCTGCAGAGTAGTTCTCGTCGTTCCCAGCCATCACGGTGACCACGGTCCCATCGGGCACTTCTCCTAAGGCCACCACCTGTGAGAAGGGGGCAAGAAAGCACGGCTCGTGACACAGTGCTCTGCATTTCCTTGCAGTGCATACCTGCATAGAGTCCCCACACCAATTCTAAGGTGGGGGAACAGCAGCTGTGGCTTCTCCTATTATTTGTTCAGTCCATCTCCTGACACAAACATTACATTTTATCATTAGACCTACTTAAAATGTCTTTCCCGTAGACAGTTGTGCTTGAAACTAATAATTGAAGGTTGCACTGTGATATTCATTAAGTAAAAGAAGTTCTGAATATATATCACAGAATCACAGAATGGCCTGTGTTGAAAAGGACCACAATGCTCATCCAGTTCCAACCACCAGAACAGGCTGCCCAGAGCCACATCCAGCCTGGTGTGTATATGGAGAATGTTACATGGCCCAGTGTGCTGTAAGCATTCCTTCACAACAATAAAAATCGATGACAAAAGCATACAAAATCTGAAAGTATTTACAATAGGCTGCGTTGCCGAAAAAGAGAGCTCATCTCGTTTAAGAGAAAATATAAAGCAAAGCTGATGCCTTGCTGCTGGTAACAGCACCCCAAACTCAAACGGGAATTCTGCCACCAACTGCTGCATCTGCATGGAAGGGCTGCATTCTGAAGGGACCCAGGAGCAGGAGATGCTCTGGGCAGTGTAGTGAGCAGCCCCCAGCCCGCCTGGCTCTGGCAGCAGCCAGCTCCACAGGCTGCAAAGGGAACTGTCAGATCACAGCTAATCAGCTACTGAACTCACACCCCCGGTAAATGGATACTGGCTCAAAGCCTAACACAGGGAGCTGCCTGCAACGTGCTCCCATCTCAGCTTATGACAGAGCACGATGTCTCCAGGCAGCCTCGGTACGCACGTCAACACCCCAGCTACTTGCAATCTATGCTTTCTACACGGCAAGAAACCAACCAACGAGCAAACAAGAATCCCTTGAACTCCAGAAATGCAAAAAAAGGGTACACGAGTCCAGTGGGGCTGTGGAAGAGGTAGCACAACCACTGCAGCTCCTCTGCAGCCCCACTCCCTCCCATTCCCTCCTGCTGCCCGGCAGCGCAGCACCCCTCACCCAGGCACCAGGCAGGGCTGACATCCTCCAAAAAGGCCCTCTGCACACACACACCCCGTTACTTCTGACAGGTTTCCTTCCCAGCCTTTCCTCCTGTCAGAGCTGTTTGGCTCTGCGTGTTTTGCCAGGGCATCCCTGTGTGTCCCACCTGCAGTAAGTGCATCCCTCGCACTGCAGCTGATGCACTGTCTGTGCTCGGCTCACTGCGAGAGGCGAGCTGAGATCAGGGCTGAAAAGACAAAGCTTCGGCTGATAAAAGAAACTCCAATCATACCAAAATCTCCTCACTATGCTGCTGAGTCAAACGTTTGTCACTGTTACACTTTCAGACCTTATTGCCAAGAAGCACCAGAAGGTTACTGTGACGGCACTGCCCAGAACAAAGCTCTGCAGGACAAGTTTGAAACCCAGAGAAATACAAACCACTTGGAGAATTTTAAAGTGTAACTTTCTGCATGGAAAGACTGCAAAAACTTTCATTTGGAAATGTTACACCATGCATCCATCAGAAATTACTTAAATATTTGTAGAAAAGGGACTGTAAGTGCACAGCGGAGTGAATAAGAGCAAAACAAAAGCATAAAGATTAACACAGGCACAGTGCAGGTTTGTTACCTATTCTCCAAACACAAATATCTCCTCCATTTCATGGCGTTTACTTTCCACACGAAGCTACCTACACATTTGGACGATTAAAATTACATTTTTCTATTTTTAACCAAAGCTCCAAAAGGTACGAAAGCTCGACGGAGGGCACAGAATAAAACCAAACCAGCTCTTATGGGTTGAAGACAGCCATGCATCTCTTTGCACAACACGATTCCCATCCGGTTAGGAGAGCCATTTGCCTGGTTTCAGTTTGGCGAGATTGGAAACGGCCACACTATGTCTCCTATGCTGGAAGTGAGAGAAACACTGCAGAGGAGCAGGCACTGCGACCTTCTGCATAGCAAAGAACTTGTTCTGAATGAAGCTGCAGTACCTGTTGCACAGACACTGGTATCTACTGCTCCAAGAACTCTTCTTGCAAAGCAGTGAATTCAAAGAGCCTCTGAATCTCAGCTCTCCGGGACTTGAAAATGTCTTTTCTGGAGATACTGCCAACAGAGCATCTGATACTATTAAAAATATTATAATGTTCTATAACTTAAACCAGAAAAACTGATTTGCACGACTTCTTTTTTTTATTATTATTATTTGTTTAAAAATATACATCTGGGCTGGCAGTTTATACAGCAGGTTGCAGCTTGAAGCTATTTAAAACAGCTGAGTTATAAACTCTGAAAACTGGGGTTTGGAGTGGAAATGCTGACAGCCCCTGAACTACTGCTGTGCTACTGGGAGAGGTCTCACACCTCACAGCTGCTCTTCTGCCTTCCTTCTGCCCACTGCAGTGCTCTGCTGTTATCAGTGTCGGCTGGGACCACAGCCAGCAGCCACCCCAGCACCCAGCAGGGCACTGCATCCTTACAGCCACCCCAACACGGCACTGCATCCTTACAGCCATCCCAACACCCAGCAGGGTGGGTCCTCATGGCCTTCTGAAAGAGCTCCCAGAATCAAAAGAGAGCCAAATCCCGACGGCTGCAGCCAACAAAAGGCTATTACACATCACAAAGGAAATGGGATTGGGTGCACGGTGCACGATACCCATTTCTCTGCTGCATGGGCACTGCAGAGTGGTCAGAGCAGTACCAGCAGACACAGTTTGCACAGTCCAACCTTACCAACTGGTCTGTGAGTCCCATGCAAACTCCTTCCCTGTAGTGTGTAAATATTAATACTTAAAATTCAAATGTGACACTTAGCCAACATTATTTCACAAAATTATAATCAAACCCAGCGCTGTTTATTACACACTTCCTTCCCTGCGTGTGATTTATATCTAACTTCTTTCTTTTTTAAATTAAAACAGTGCTATATCCAGAGTACTTTTTAACTGGAGAGCTCTGCAAGAGAATTATGACACACTTAACGCACCACTCAAAACATTATCATCAACATATTATTTATTGCCAATAAAACTTCAAAAACTGTTGTCTGTGAGCCATTTTACTTTCAAGTTTCTGCCTAGCTGAGATTCCTATAGCCCAGATCTGTCTTTTTTTCCAGTTTTTTAGAGATAATTCCCATTCTGCTGTATCACATCAAGTGTTTCATTGCAGCTTCTTTGGTCTGAAAGCATCGGGCAGCTGCGCTGACAAATGAGATACAATTTTAAAACCTGTTCGATGGGTTCCAACCATCATTTTGCTATGCAGAAAGTCTTATTAGTACCTGTTGTTGTATGGTACTTTTGCTTCGTGCTCACACCTTCTGCCTTGATTACACACAGCGTGGCCCTCTCAGCCTCCACCAGGAAATAAGGGCATCCATGCACGGCATATTTTAAGAAGAGCATCTCGCATGCTGTGTGTGAAAGCTCAGAGCTGAAGGGACAACTCAGCACATCAACAAACCTACCGCATCCTACTGCCTGCCTGCAGCCCCACACACAACCCAAATATCAGAATATATGAGCACAAACACTTCGGGATGTGCTCTCACTTTTATCACACGTACTGGAATAACATCCTAAATACCATTAGGCTGAGCTCTCTGCTTTCCTGCTGTGAGCTGGGACTGCTTGCTTTGGGTGGCTGCAAGGCAGGGGCACACTCAGGCTTTTCAAACGGAAGCAGAAATACAGAGGCAATAACACGAAGCCCTCACATTGCTTCTATAGGAAGTAACTACAACACCGAGCTCATCTACAAGTGAACTAATTACAACTTCGATCCTGGGAGACTCTTCCTCACCCCAGGAATCAGAGCCGAGCTCTGACCTGAGTTTCATGCACTGGAGGCACTTCATAACCTGGTGGCACCCCATAGGCCCAGTGGCAGAAGACACCTCACTATCTCCACTCAAGCACAAGGCAGGCCCCATGCAGGGTAACTGCAGCCCCAGACCCATTAGGTCTCTCCCCCTCTGCCTGCATCCCTACTCCCTCCGACAACAAAGTGCCACCAGCACATCGCCTTTATGGCCAGACACACCAAAATCAGTTCTTTTAGCCATTTTTACCCATTTTTGCTCTGACAAAACAAACACATGCAGGAAACACAACCCAAGGGGACGTTCTGGCAGCACTGGGGCATAGGGCTGCTCCCGGGCGCTGCCCGTGAGCCATTGCAGGCAGGTGCTGCCGGCATTCCCCAGCTGAGGACGTGGTTGGGGGGCTCTGTGTGGCCATGCGACGCCACAGGGAGGACGGAGGGCTGCAGAACACAGCACACACATGGTGCTGCTATTGCAGTTTTTAAGAAATGTTTTCCTCTCATCAGCACACCACGGGGATGGAGACAGATAATGAGAAGCGGCGCTCGCGGTGTAGTTCTGTGCCCCCTTCCTCCCCCCGTGGAGGCTTCCTCACCCCTGGGCCAGGAGAAGTGAGTGGGACCCCCATCAGGACCCCAACCCCTGCAGCAAATCCCTGTGTGCCCCCTCCAACTCCAGGAGCCAGGACACGAGGCTGGGATTCTGGGGCTGCCCGTAAGGGAAGGTTTGGAGGGGGCACCCATTCTGCACCCCTGCACTGAGCAATTGGGGATGGGTGAATCTTGTTATAAGAAAACTTTTTTTTAAAAGAAAAGCTCATAAGAGGCTCAGTGGAGTGCTGTGGGGGTGGTACAGGGATGGGGGGAGCACAGGGGAGGCTATGCATTACAGGAATGGAAATAACAAGACTGATCCCGGAGGCTGGGAGGGTTCGGGGGCACAGCACACACTGCGGCACGGGGGAGAGGCACAGCATGCTCTGCAGGGTGGGAGGGCATAAGAGGGTCTGCGGAGGGGGGGTGAGGATGTTTTGTAGGGCAGAAGGGGGACAGGGGGCACTGCAAGGCAGAGAAGGCTCAGAAAGTACAGTGGGATGCGGGGGCATGGCAGACAGAAGGATGGGGGTATGTGAGGCACCGCCAGACTCGGGGGGGGACAGGAGGCACTTGAGCACAGAGGGGGGAACAGAAGATCCTACGGAGCCTTGGGACACACACACCAAGCAGAGAGAGTGCAGGGGGAGCACAGAAATCAGTGCAGGATGGGGGGCACTGGAGGCAATGTAGCACGGGGTGGGGTAGGGGGGCACAGGAGGCACTATAGGGGGCACAGAAGTTGCTGTAGGATGGAAGGGCGAAAGGCTCAAGGCAGGATGAGGCACACGCACAGGAGCTATTGCAGGATGGGGGGTCACAGAAGTCAGTGTAGGACAGAGAGGGCACAGAACTCATTGCAGGATAAGGGGATACAGACTGAAGGATTGAGGGATGGGTGGTGGGAGCATAGAAGTCAACGAAAGACCAGGGTGCAAAGGAAGCTTTGTAGGATGGGGGGGGCACAGAAGTCAGTGCAGGATGAGGCATTGCAGCAGAAGTCCGTGCAAACCGAGAAAGGGGGACAGAAGTTATTGCAGCACGGGGAGGGGGGACAGAAGTTATTGCAGCACGGGGAGGGGGGTGGTGGGGGGGAACACAGGAGTCGTTGCGGAGGGAGGGGGGGGGGGGAGAAGGCACCGTAGGATGGGGCTGCACAGAAGTCAGTGCAAGATGTGTGGGCACAGAGCTCAGCAAAGCACGGGGAGGGGGGGGCACAAAAGGAACGGCGGGATAAGAGGGGCACAGAAGTCAACGCGGCACTGGGGGTGCGGGATGCACTACGGAGGGGGGGGGGGCACAGGAGGAACCGCGGGATGAAGCGGGCACGGCAGCGCGGGGAGGGGGCACGGCACGGCACGGCACGGCGGGCTTTGCGGGCCGGGGGGGGCGAACACCGCAACGCCTGCGGGGCGGAGGTGGGGTGGGTGAGTGGTGGGGTGGGGGGAGCCGAGCGGCCGCTGTCAGCGCGGGGGGAGAGCGCTCACCTTGAAGGCCACCGGGAGGGTCTTATTGCAGCGCCAGTGCGAGGGCAGCACGGAGCACAGGAAGTTGGGGCTGTCGGTGCGGACCAACTCGGCCGGGTGGTCGGCGATGATCTCCACCATGGTGCGGTTATCGTGCGGCCGCAGCCGGGGCACGGCGGCTTCTTGCTGCTGTTGCTGTTGCTGTTGCTGCTGCTGTTGGGCCACTACGACCGGGCTGACCTCGCTCATCTTGCCGGGCTGCAGGCTGCTGGAGGGGGGGCTGAACCTCCGGCTGGTGCTGGGATCTACGGGAATACGCATCACAACAGCCACAAGTTAGCGAATTGGGGGGCGGGGGGGCGGGGGGGGGAGCGGCGGGGGGATCGCTGGAGGAGGCGGGTAGTGAGGGGGGGGGGTTGCGGGGAAAAAAAAAAAGTATTAAAAACAAAATAGCGAAAAATGGGGCGAATGAAAAAGCGGAGGGTCTGTAATAAAAAGAAAATAGTGGTGGGGGGGGCGGCGGGGGGGGCAAAAAAAAAATCTGGCGGAAAAAAGAAAAAAACAGCAGGAAAAAAACACCAAAAACACCACCGAAAAAAAAAAAAAAAAAAAAAAAAAAAAAGCCCCAAATCTCAGTCTGTCGCCGTTCGTTTGCTCAAAGCGCGGGGCTGCGCTGCCCTCAGCGACGCCCGCCGCAGCGGCACCGTCCCGCCGTGCGTCCGCGCCCGGCTCCGCTTCTCCTCCTGCCGTCCGTCCGTCCGTCCTTCCCCCCTTCCAACCGCCGCTTCTTCCCTCAGCGCCGCACGACTTTCTCTCCTTTTTTTCTTCCACTCCTTCCCCGTCCGCTTTTCGGGCTTTAAGAGGAGTCGAAGGCAGCCGGCTGCGCTCGCTGCTTCAAGAGGAGCGTCGCTCGCAAAGAGCGAAGGGGAAACGTCCCGATTTCCTCCGAAGAAGTCTTCCTCCTCCGGCCAAAGAAACGGCAAAGCAAAAAAAGAGCCGAGCCGAAGCGCTGCGGTGCGAGGAGCGGTGCGGGGCTGAGCGCCGGGCGCGGCCCGTGGGGAGGATCGGGGCTCAGGGCGAGTCCGGCAGCCGGCTTCCCAACGAGCGGAGAGCGGGCAGCATCGTCAGGAGGGGGGAAAAAGAGGGGAAAAGGCACCCCAGAGCAGCCCTCTGCGGGCTGATTCCGAAACTGTGCCCGAGGAAATGGTGGGGAAAGGCAGCTTCGGTGCGGTCCGGTCCTTTTAATTGAGTCGCTGCTGGATCCGAGTCCGGGGAGCTGAAGCGGGTAACTGAAATCGCTCTTTTTGTTTGGTTGTTTTTGGGTTTTTTTTTTCTTTTTTTTTCTTTTTTTTTTTTTTTTTTCCGCCCTCGATGAACAACAACAGCAAAATATATATATATAGATAAAAAAAAAATCACTAAAGTGTCGCTTTGTCGGAGTTAGTTTTTGCTCTCAGAAAATTGCGTTGTTAAAGAATGAAAAATAATAAAAAGGCAAAAACAACAACAAAACTTCTTTCGGGTGCCGAGAAGTTGAGGTCGGAAAGATGAAGGAGCCGAGAAGGGATAAAAAAAAAAAAACAAAAAAAAAACAACACGCACACACCAAAAAAAAAAAAAAAAAAAAGAAGAAGAAAAAAAAATGCCGCAGTTTTTTTGTCCTGAATGTGGTTTTTGGAGGCTGGGACTTCTAATGATTAGGGGTTTGTGGTTTATATATACAGGGCTCTCCGGCTGGGGCCATCATTATGCTGATGAGAGTCAGCAGCACGTGGTGCTGCGCTCCTCTGCCTTCTGCAGCCTTCAAAATAAATACAACAATGTGCATCCCACCCCCCCAACCCCCCCCAGGAGGAGAGCCCTCGCCTGGAGCCGCCCGCAGCCGCGGGGAGGGGGCCGGGCCGAGGCGGGGGGGGGGGGGGGGGTTCGGGTTGGCGATGCGCTCCGTTGCGCTCCGGGTTTTTTCCATTAACACTTCTGGGTTTGTTTGTTTGTTTGATTTTTTTTTTTTTTAAATATATATATATATATTTAAGAAATAGAAAAGTCTGGTTTGCAAAAATGTATCTGTAGCGCGAGGAGCGAGCTGGTGCCCAAGGGTTTGTGCTGAGACTCCGCTAGTCTAAAAAGCCTAAAACATTTCCTTGAATGAATGAGAGTTATACCTCCCCCCCCAAGACTGCTAAGGTAAAGGCAGGCGGGTTTGTTTTCTCCCTTAAAAAAAAAAAAAAAGAAAGAAAGAAAAAAAAAAAAAAAAAAAAAAAAAAGGAAGAAAAGGGCAGATCTTATTAAAAACAATTTACATACCCAATGGTAACAAAGTGTCGCCGCCCCCCCGAGCAGACAGCGGCCTATCACAGCCCGCCCGCTAATTTCTAAGGCTCCCCCCGCCCCGCCGCTCCCCCCCTCCCCTCCCACTGCCGCCTGCGTGCAGCCCGGCCCGGCGGCGGCCCGTCCGGCTGTGGGGGTGTCGGGGTGTCGGGGGGGTTTTGGGCCGCGCACCCTTTTCGCACAGCTGTTACGAAGCTCGGCTCCGCCGCTAAACACCCGCCGGCCTCGCTCCGTCCGGACCCCGCGCAGAGCACGGCAGCCCTACAGGGACCCGGGGGGGAGAGCTGGAGGAGCCGCCCCCGGGTCCCCCTTCGCCCCCCTCAGATCCTCCTTCGCCCCCCCCCGGGGTCCCGGCTTGGAGCGCAGCGGATGGGCAGAGCGGGGCGGTGCGCGGCGCGGAGATGTGCGGCTCGGGCGCAGGGGAGAGCTCTCGCTCCGCGCAGCGCAGCGCCGAGCCCGGCTCCGTTCCTTCCAACCTTCCTTCTCCTTTCCCACGGCCGCCGTGGGGAGCGGCAGCCCCAGACCGGCGAGCTGCCGGCTCTCCCTCTCTCCTTTCTCTTTTTATTTTTATCGCTTTTTTTAATAGTCGTTCTCGTGTCGGTGGATGCGGAAGGTTCCCACCCGGCGGGTATCCCCACCGGAGCTCGCGCTGCGCTCCTGAACGACGAGCCCTACTCCGCACACGGGCGCTCGGAAGCTCTGCTTTACCGCAGTTGCAGTAAGAAAAGAGATTTGGGTAGGACGCTCATGGCCGCGTTTCTCCCCCCTTTGGCCGAAGGGGAAATGCATTCCACTGCGAAGGTGCTCGGAGGAAGGCGAGAGGCTCCCTTACAGCCAGCTGCTACGTGTGCCCGGCGGCCGTGATTTATTTCATTTCCAACCAGAAGATACGTTTGCAGTTTTAATTACTTATATACTAAAAAATTTTACTGTTACCTCTCTTCCTGCTAAAGTAAAATAAAAACTTAATTAGAATCAACCAAAATAAGTTATTGGAAGCTACCGGGGTAAGGTTTATATTTCTATATTTCTACAAGCACTGGAACAGGTTGCCCAAGGAGGCTGTGGATGCCCCATCCCTGCAGGCATTCAAGGCCAGGCTGGATGTGGCTCTGGGCAGCCTGGGCTGCTGGTTGGCGACCTGCACACAGCAGGGGGTTGGAACTGGATGAGTATTGTGTTCCTTTGCAACACAGGCCATTCTATGATTCTAAAGTCACTTAAAATAGTCCGTGGTTATTTATAATGCCGAAATAAAACTTTCCGCTGTACGCCCTGACGAAGGCTCAGGTTATCTGGCACAGCTGATTTTCAGTCTCCGAGCAAAAATCCCTCTCTGCTCAACATTTACACAGTGAGTGGGAACTGAGCGCAGCCTGGAACAGCTCACAGCGTTAGGAGTTTTATTTCAACAGTTATGGACAAATTAATAAAAGCACCGGGAAGGTTTATGGAGCTGTGTGGAAGCTGGATGGGATGTTTTAGTGCAAGCGATTGCTGTTATGATATATAGGATCTGGAACTCAGGTTTGGCTGAAGCAGAGAGCAACCCCGCTGCTCGGCTCTGCTCGGCTTTCAGTGCACAACTTCTCGGAATTGCAGCCCCGGTTGCAAAACGGGTCATATTTTAAGATGTTAAGAGAATGGTAGGAGGTTGGTGAAAAAAGAAATGTGCTTGCGTTGCAGATTGGGTCTTAACAAACACCTTCAGCTCCACATTATAAAAGCAGATTTTCACCCGCACGGCTGCTTTTGCTGCAGTTGTGATCGTGTTTTGGTTTTCTCACTTTTCACACAGAATCACAGAATGGCCAGGGTTGGAGGGGACCTCAAGGATCATGAACCTCCAACCCCCACTTTTAACCACGTTGTGGATATGGCTGTAATTACGTTGCTTTTTGCCAGCAAGGTGATGTTTCAAACAGCACAGGGTTTGTTTAGGGTTGCGTTTATAAGAGACAGGCCTAGCACGCTCGTGTTGAAAAATAATTGTCACATTTGAAAGGTTCCAACCTGGACAACGTTTCCTAAATAAACAGCTGTGCTGCCAGGCTGTGGGGCTGCAATGTGCTGTAAATACGCCAAACACAGAATGTATTTTGAGCTATAGAAGTAAATAGGATTTGTGAAAAAGGAGAAAGCAGATGGGTTCACTGGGTTTGTTATTGCATCGGGTATTTTTAGTCGGAGTGACTCCAGCAGTGTCAGCAATTATTACTGGAGCTAAGGACGTGCCAAAGCTCTCCTTCCAAAATCTGCCTTCCAAAAGGTTGAAATTCACTTGTGAAAATGTGCATTGGGTCAATACACGCTGACTTTGGTGAGCTTTGTGCCACCGGAGCTCAGCTCAAGCACCGTTCATTCCAGCAGGGCAGGAGGAGCTGCAGCGGCTGCTGGCAGTGCTCTGCTTTCACTGGGGCTGCAGGTGGACTGTGTGCCCCACTATGCTGTGCTTTGCTTGTTTAGTATTCTGGGTATGGAAAATACTGAGCCCACACTATCAGGTCTGTGGTGATGAGCTCTGCAATAACCATGTTCATACCCAGGTATGGGACAGCTCTAGATTGTTTAATTACTGTGTTCCTGTCCCATTGATTTATGGCTTAAATAAAGGATGACTTGTGTCCTGAAATTACAGACCATCACAGAGTGGCCAGGGTTGAAAGGGACCTCAAGGATCATGAAGCTCCAACCCCCCACCACACGCAGGGCCACCAACCTCCACATTTCAGAGCAGCCCAGGCTGCCCAGGGCCCCATCCAACCTGGCCTTGAACACCTCCAGGGATGGACGGGGCATCCACAGCCTCTCTGGGCAGCTGTTCCAGCACCTCACCACTCTCTCTGTAAAGAATTTCCCCCTGAAATTAGTTGAAAGCATTTCATATTTCAGCACCACACACTAGTTTTTAGCATTTATAGTCCCCAATATGAGTACAAGCTGGAAAATGATTTCATAAAAAAAAAAAAAAAAAAAAAAGCAGTGTCCAGAATACAATTTTTTCCCACAGAATTTTTGGTA